GGCTTACAATCCCTTTCCCTTCCCCTCCCCACAACAGACATCCTGTGAAGTAGGTGGGGCTGAGAGAGCTCTCAGAGAACTGCTCTGGAGAGAACAGCTCTGAGAGAACTGTGACTGACCCAAGGTCACCCAGCTGGCTGCATGTGGAGGAGTGGGGGATCAAACCCAGTTCTCCGGATTAAGAGTCTGCCACTCTTAACCACTACACCGAACTGCTTTAATCCAATCTTAGCTGTACTTATCGCCCAGTTACTTATGCACCTTGACTCTAACTAGCCCTTCCTGGCACGTAACCCACCCACCCCGCCTATATATAAGGCTTAATGAAATCTGTCTCCATGTATCTGAAGAAGTGTGCCTGCACATGAAAGCTCATACACAGAATTAAACTGTGTTGGTCTGGAAGGTGCCCCTGGACTCAACCGTTGCAAAATAAGCAAATACATTCGGATCCAGCCGATTTGCGTGATGCATAGAGGGTGCCGAATACACACCTCTTCCGCAGCAGAGTTTTGACACCCAGCTGACCCAATGGACTCAGTGACTTCACAGGTTCCTTTTCTACCCCACAAGCCTCCTCCCTGCCCAGACTCACCCTCCACTCCGGCTGCGGTCATAAACATCTTATATGTGGTGTGAAGAAGCTGCCGTCCCTTCAACAGATCTGCAAAAGATTTAAAAAAAAAACTGGAGGAAAACCTTTCTACACTCTCCTTTGAATCCATGTTCCCCTTTCCCTTCCCCTCCCTGCAACAGACACCCTGTGAGGTAGGTGGGGCTGAGAGAGCTCTTTCGAGGACTGCCCTTGAGAGAACCCCTCTGAGAAAACTTGTGACTGACCCAAGGTCACCCAGCTGGCTGCCATGTGGAGGCGTGGGGAATCGAACACGGTTCTTCCAGGTTAGAGTCTGCGCTCCTACCCACTACACCAAACGGGCTCTCAAGGACTTCCTGCTTCCCTGAGAAAGCTGGCTGCACTGTGCAGAAATGTATCACTTAGCCAGTGATGGCTGCCACCCCAAATGCCCGTGTTTCAGCACTGGGGTACCCGCGAACACTCACAGCCAAAGTAGCAGGAAATGACGAGGATCAGGATAAAGATGAGCAGGAACGTGATGTCTGTCTCTAGGATGCCTGAGGAGGACAGGGGGAAAAGTCTGTTGGAGGAAAGTCCACCCTTTGGACATCCGCCCGCATGCCACCTTCAGTTTTAAAGAGGCCGCCGTTGCCCTCTGGAGGGCTGATTTGGGACTAGTGTTGCCGATGGCTTGCTGGCTTGCTCTCCAGCAGCTCAGTTTGTGTAGGGCAGAATCCATGGAATATTGCAAAACACCGCGAGTCTTCCGTCCTCTCTCTCTTTCGAAGGAAACCTGCTCTGTAAAAGAGCTAAATTCGAGTCCAGCAGCACCTTAGAGAGGAGCTGCGGTGGCTCAAGTGGTTAAGACGCTGAACTGCAGGCTGTGGAAGGTTGGTAGTTCAGCAGTTCGAGACCCGAGTGCCGCATGATGGAGTGAGCTCCGGTCTCTGGCCCCAGCTCCTGCCAACCTAGCAGTTTGAAAGCAATACATTGCAAGTAGATAAATAGGTACCACTTCAGTGGGAAGGGAACAGCGTTCCGTGCGCCTTGGTGTTTAGTCATGCCGGCCACATGACCACGGAAACGTCTTCGGACAGCGCTGGCTCTTCGGCTTTGAAACGGAGATGAGCACCGCAACCCTAGAGTCGGACTCGACTGGCTTTCGAGCAAGGGAGACCTTTACCTTTAGCACCTTAGAGACCAGCCAGATTTTCAGGGTATAAGCTTTCGAGAGTCAAAACTCGGAGACAGATCAAGAGGAGGAGGAGGAGGAGGAAGAGGAGGAGGAGGAGATTGGGTTTATACCCCGCCCTTCACTTGGAGTCTCAGAGCGGCTTACAAACTCCTTTCTCTTCCCCTCCCCACAACAGACACCCTGTGAGGTGGGTGGGGCTGAAAGAGCTCTGACACAAACTGCTCTTTCAGGAACAGCCATGCCAGAGCATGTGACTGACCCAAGGTCGTACCAGCAGCTGCAAGTGGAGGAGTAGGGAATCAAACCCGGTTCTCCCAGATTAGAGTCCGCACACTGAACCACTACACCAAACTGGCAGCAGCCAAATCGCTCGCTCACAACTTTAATGCTAGTCGCTCACAAAGTAAGAACTTTTGCTCACAAGACTCCGCAGCTTGGAGCAAGCATTGATGGGGACCCCAAAGCAGCTTCCACTGTTCTCCTCTTCTCCAGTTTGTCTTCACAACAAGCTTGTGAGGTAACTTAAGACTGGCCCAAGGTCACCATGGAAGATACCATGGAAGAACTGGGGTTTGTACCTCGGTCTCCCTCATGCCAGTCTGACTCACTAACCAGTATGGTAGAGAAAATAGAGGGGGGAGAGCCCGCAGGGCTCTTTTTGTAGCAGGAACTCCTTTGCATATTAGGCCACACACCCCCTAATGTAGCCAGTCCTCCAAGAGCTTACAGAGCTCTTCTTGCAGGGGCTACTGTAAGCTCTGGGAGGATTGGCTACATTAAGGGGGGTGTCGCCTAATATGCAAATACAAAAAGAGCTCTGACTGGGGAATTTAACGCAACAAAATTGAATCAAGTACCTGAAAGGTAAGTCAGAAAGCAAAAGCAGGGCCAAAAATCTAAAACGAAATAATAATACTTTCCATTTATCGATCGCTTTTTCCCCACTCATGCGGGCTCAGAGCGATTTATGGTTACTCAAAGACAATGGAGTAACAATATATTCGAGGGGGATAGGGAAGACAACATACAATATTTAATCACACACACACATTGTAGCTGATCGGAGGTTCAGCTAGTTTTAGATTTTGGCCCCGCTCTTGCTTTCTAACTTACCTTTCAGGTACTTGAGTCACTAACCAGAACACCTGGGGGCCTGCCAGGTGTTTCCAAAAAGTGTGTGGGGCCGGGTGAGGCCAGCAGAGCTTCTGATTGGTCACTGGAGATCTGATATAGACTGCCGGATGAGTTTCTTAGCTAGCTCACTACATAGATCCGTGCGTCTGAAAGAAACTATTTTAAACGACGTGTTCATTTTAAAAAGCACCCTGTGTAAACAGAGCTTCTGCTCGGAATGTTGAAGAGCTACAATCAGAGTTATGCGCAGCCTCATTCCTTGATATTTCACGCTTGGCTCTGCCTCGTACGTCAGCCATTTTGCGGTGGTGCTCATTGGCCTGTATCAGAGTTCAAAATAGCTGGGGATCTTCGCAACCACACCATGCTGTCATTTTCTACCAGATATTACATCATCACACTCAAACCTGGCATCTTCCTTAGGACCAGTGTTCCCTCTGAGCTGAGTTAGTGTGAGCTGGCTCACAGCGTTTTAGCCTCCGGCTCACACATTTTTGTCTCCGCTCAGGACGGATGGCTCCAGAGCAAACTAATTTATGCAGCAGCCAAATCGCTCACTCACGAACTTTAGTGCCAGTAGCTCACAAAGTCGAATTTTGGCTCACAAGACTCCACAGCTTAGATGGAGCATTGCTCAGGGCCCAAACAGGAGCTTACCAAACTCATCGGCCGAAAAGTGGCGCGTCCAGAAGGATTTGCCATTGGTCAGGATCATCTCATACTCCAGTTCCAGCCCGTCGCCCTGTGGGAGGACAGGACAAAAGTCACCGTGACCTTGGGGAAGGGGTTGATGAAGTCAGGGTTCCAGCGGGGAACGAAGAGACTCACCCCGCACTTGCTGAGCGCCACATACCACCAGCGCTCACGGACTGAGCGGAAGCTCCGGCCGCTCGCACAGCTCAGGTACCTCACGGAGCTCTCGGTCACCACCTGGGCGAGAGAATGCAGAAGGGAGAACAGCGATGGAGAATGAAGGGACGACGTGTGATCCAAATGCCTTCTCCTTTCCTCCCCACCCCCTTTTGCCAGTGTTTGACCATCAGGAAGTGCCTGTTTCTTCCAAATTGGAACACCCCAGGAGTTTCTGCACAACGGGGCACAGAACATACGCAAGCAAGTTGACTACTGCTCCCACTTATATCTTTCAGAATCTGTGTCCTTGACCACTGCCTATATTTGCCGAGCTGTAACTCCATGGGAGTGGAAGGAGAGCACAGAATGTAGTCATGAGTGCAGAATTCAAGGTCTCTTCTTTCTGTCTGTCTGTCTGTCTGTCTGTCTGTCTTTCTCCCTTCCCTGAGAACAGGGCTCAGGGCGGTACACACAGGGGTCATTTCCTGCAGGAGCGCACAGGAGTGGAGCTTCGGCAGTAAAGAGCCCAGGGGGTGGGCACATGCAACAAGCCCCACCCCCTGCTTCCAGCAGCCCTCAGTCAGAGCAAGAAGCAGCCAGGGAAGCTGCAGAGACCCCCAGTCCAAAACAGTCCAGTGGCACCTTTAAGACCAGGTTTTATTCAGGTACAAGCTCTCCCTCCTCTTTGAGGACAGATCTGCACATTCCTCCCCCCCCCCAATAGCTAGCAATCCAAAACAGTCCAGTGGCGCCTGAGCGGGGGGGGTTGCCTTCTGACACACTTCCGGTGATGTCAGGGGGTATGGCATATGCAAATGTTATGCTAATGAGTTATGCTAATGAGCTCCTGCACCTCTTTCTCTACGAAATGACCCCTGGGTACACAACAGTGTGTGTGTGTGTGTGTGTGTGTGTGTGTGTGTGTGTGTGTGTGTAAATTAACAATAAAAACAGTAGAATCCGCTAAAAGGAATGAGTCCTAACAAAGATGACGTTAAGGCTACTGATGATGGGGGGAGAGGCAGGAAGACAGGAGTGCCAGACACATGGAAACCGTCGCTGCCATCAGAAGATCCATCTGCTGGATCAGACCAATGGTCCATCTAGTCCAGCATCCTGTCTCTCACATGGTGGCCAACCAGTTCCTTCGGAGGGCCAGCCACAGGGCAGAGAGGCCAAGGCCTTCCTCTGATGTTGCCTCCTGGCTCTGGAATTCAGAGGATTAGTGCCTCTGAATGTGGAGGTTCCCCTCAGCCACTGTGGCTAGTAGCCATTGATAGACTTATCCTCCATGAATCTATCGAATCCCCATTTTACACTGTTTATTCCTGGGGCCATCACTATATCCCCTGGCAGCAAATTCCACATTTTAATCCCTCTCTGTGTAAAGAAGTATTTCCTTTTGTCCTTGCTGAACCTACTGCACATCAGCTTTTTTCAGGTTGGCCAAGTCTGCAGTGTCTTTCATGTTCTTTTATTCTTGTCTGGATGCTATGCTGGGTGGTCCCAATGTAAATCTGTCCACAACTGCAAGGTATGCAGTATACTCCTGCAGAAGTGAGGGGGTCTGTCTTTTGCTGATCAGATTACACAGAGAAGCCATTGAAATTCATAAACATAAACACAATTTCAACAGGAAAGAAGAGAGTTTAAAAATAAATAGGGCATGGTTCCCTGTCCTGAAAAACACAAGATGCTCTACATCTTACAACAGCACTACAGATAAGATTAGAATTTCAACAGCCTATCCATATGCAAAAGAACCTCCTCAGGAAAGCTCCTCCATTAGCATGTCACAGCCTGGGAAACTCCTACAAAATAATCTCAGCCCTACCCCACCTCCCTGAGTAGATATAAATTATCTGCCTACCATTTTTCTGTGTTATACCTCTGAGGATGCCAGTCACAGCTGCTGGCGAAACGTCAGGTACTACAATGCCAAGACCACAGCCATACAGCCCAGAAAATCTACAACAACTAATTCCTTTTGTCCCTTTCCGAGAAATTTGCTTTTCATGGCACAGAAAGGACACCTGCCGAGAGATGAAAGTGAGGATGTGCACCTGACGCTGTTACCCTCCCCAAGTCTTTGGGACAGTTTATTCTGAAACTGAATAAAATAAAGAAGGGGATCGGGGAAAACAGAGTTTGCAGAGGTGGGTAGCTAGACTTGCCCCCCACAAAGCCCCCTTACCTGGCATCCCGACCAGGCATACTGGGTTGTAAGGTTGATCACCTGGTTGTTCTCTGGGCGGATCACAGACTCCTTCATCAAACAATCCTAAAGAAGATTACCAAGTGCACAGTAATTGTAATATGGTTCACAGTGATATGATCCTGTTAATCAGCGGCTGGACAACGCTTGTCAGGGATGCTGTAGGCTGATCCTACATTGAGCAGGGAGTTGGACTAGATGGCCTATAGGGCCCCTTCCAGCTCTGTGAATCTATGATTCTATGAATTGTTCCTGAATGGAAACCAGAGCAACATTTTAGGGCAAAAACCTTATCCAATTTAATTTTCTTTAAAAGCAGCTGGGAAAGGGGGGGAATTAAATCAGGGCCTTTTCATCCTTTCCCCTAGACCATTTTCCATAGTCTAAGTTATCCCCTGAAGCTGTCATTTGCCCTGGGAGGTGAGAAGGATGGGTACTTTTTGAGCATGAAAGAATGAAGAAGAAGAAAGAAGAAGAAGAAGAAGGAAGAAGAAGGAAGAAGGAAGAAGAAGGAGGAGAAGGAGAAGGAGAAGAAGAAGAGGAGGAGGAGGTGGAGGAGGAGGAGGAGGTTGGATTTATACCTCGCCCTTCACTTGGAGTCTCAGTAGGGTGGCTAAGTCAATTTTTCTTACGGGCGGGGGGGCCGTCCTCCTCTCCCTTCCCCTCCCCACAACAGACACCCTGTGAGGTGGGTGGGGCTGAGAGAGCTCTGACACAAACTGCTCTTTTTCAAGGACAGCTGTGCCAGAGCTTGTGACTGATCCAAGGTCACATCAGCAGGTGCAAGTGGAGGAGTGGGGAATCAAACCCGGTTCTCCCAGATTAGAGTCCGCACACTTAACCACTACACCAAACTTTAAAACTGTATTCTGAGAAGAACCCAGACTGACTTCCCTGGCACAGAGAACGTTTGTGAGCAAACACGCCCGGCGCCGAGCTGGCAACTGATGCTCAGATCCCCGGAACTGCTGCATCTAATCTCACACCAGAAAGTGCACAGGATTACATCACACAAGAAAGAGATCCAGCTGCTCCCTGACATCGGCTATAATCATGCAAATTCTGTCAATTATGTGCTGCAGAAATATGCAAAAATCTGTCGCAGCTTTGAGGTTCCCACTAATGTTTCCCTCCAGCGTTCCACGGTGCTGAATAAATTGCCGTTCTTCAACCTGGCCGATTCCAGTTTAAGCTGTCTTGGAGAGAAATCTCAGCCCCTTGGGATTCTGAAATTGAAAAGCGGTTTCTTTTCCTACGCAATTGCTCAGCGGAAGACCCCACCGCTTTAGGGGGGAAACTCCTTCTTACATTATTCCATTGTTTGATCAACAGGTGCATGATTGTGTTCAGCCTCTATACAGCACTTCTTCGGTGTTTGCAAACTGCATTCCTTAATTATTTCAGTAATTCTGACAACAGCCCTGTTTGGTAAAGTCAGTGCTATTGGCCCTGTGCTAACTCTCCCTAGCAGCTAAAATGACAGACTTGGGTCACGTTGATGAGAAGGCAGCAGTCACCGGAAAAGACAATAATGCTGGGAAAAGTTGAAGGCAGCTTGACAAGAGAAAGACCCGACATTATACAGATTGACTCAGGCTGCGGTCACACTGGAGGCTTGGTGCGATCTGGCCACCCCTCTATTTGCAGCAGTTTAAATAGTTGCGGGAAGTTTTGATCAGTCAGAGCAAGAAGCAGCCAGGTAAGTCGCAGAGCCTCCCCCTGACCCCCCAAGTCCAAAACAGTCCAGTGGCACCTTTAAGACCAAGTTTTATTCAGGGACAAGCTCCCCCTCCTCTGTGAGGACAGATCTGCACATTCCTCCCCCCCCAATAGCTAGCAATCCAAAACAGTCCAGTGGCACCTTTAAGACCAGGTTTTATTCAGGGACAAGCTCTCCCTCCTCTGCGAGGACAGATCTGCACGTTCCCCCCCCAATAGCTAGCAATGCAAAACAGTCCAGTGGCGCCTGAGCGGTGGGTGTTGCCATCTGACACACTTCCGGTGATGTCAGGGGGTGTGGCATATGCAAATAGGTTATGCTAATGAGCTCCTGCACCTCTTTTTCTGCAAAATGACCCCTGCCTGGAAGTAAGCCCAGCTGAAGGGACCTGACTGAGTAGGATTCTCAGTGTTCTGACTTGGATGGTGGAGGCTAGCCCGATCTCATCAAACCTCAGAAGCTAAGCAGGGTCGGCCCTGGTCAGTACTTGGAGGGGAGACCCACCAAGGAAGCCCAGGGTTGCTACGCAGAGGCAGGCGATGGCAAGCCATCTCTGAACACCTCTTCCCTCAAAAAAACCCTGGAGGAGTCACCGTGAGTCAGTTGCAACTAGGCAGCACTTCCCAAGTTTCTGAATAGACCTGCACAGGGTTCCTCTCCAGTTCAGTAGTGTAGATTCAGCTTTGGTTTCGACACAGTGATGAACCCACCCATCTCTGATGGTACGCACCGTTGGTAACCACGGCCGGCTCTACTGTTAGGTGAGGTGAAGCAGTGGCCTCAGGCAGCCTATTGATTTTGGGTGTATAACAAAAACGTGGCTGCACAGTGGGTGTCGTGTACCAAATCTGGAAAACACTGTAATGAAGGAATGCACACAAAACTTCTATTTGAAATTACAAAAGACCTCTTATTGACTATTCTTTAAAGACGCAGTACAAGTTGAAGTTAAACATATGAAGCTAAATCCATAATACATGAGGTTAACCACACAGTATTCACCACGGCAACGGACGTCCCAGGTAAAGCTCCGTTTCAACCAGGCTTGCAAAGTACTTACCGTGATTCGGCGGGGGACACATACTTCTTCCCAGGACCATTCCTGCGCGGAAAACAGATGCGCCGCACCATGCCGTCGCCAGGAAGTGAAGCTGGGCAACGCTCTGGCAATGAGGCTGGAAACGCAATGGTACCATCGAGTTTCCAGCCCCATTGTCAGAGCGTCGCCGAGCGTCACTTCCTGGCGACGGCATGGTGCGGCGTGGGTGTGTTGCAGGGAGGAATGTTCCGGCCGGGGATCATGTGTCCCCCACCGAATCGCGGTAAGTACTTGGCAATGTTCCCTCTAAGCTGCGGAGTCTTGTGAACAAATATTCTACTTTGTGAGCTGCTGGCATTAAAGTTGTGAGCGAGTGATTTGGATACTGCATAAATTAGCCTGCTCTGGAGCCCTCCTTCCTGAGCTAAGACAAAAATCTGTGAGCTGGAGGCTCAAAATATGTGAGCTAGCTCACACTAACTCAGCTTAGAAGGAACACTGGTACTTGGTAACCCTAGTTTCAACCCTTTATAAGGGAGGTGCAGACACTGCGAGGGGGCGGGAAATGGCAGCAGGGAACAGCCGCTTCTGACAGGAGTCCCGGTTTGGAAAGGCACAGATTGATCCACACAGCTCTTGAGAGAGAGGGAGGCGGGGATCCGCCGCAGCTGCACGGCCGCTCAGAACTGACCTTATTTCCCTTTTTATAGACCGCCGGCCACTGAGAAGGATCATCGAAATAAAGAAGGATGTTCTCGCAGCATTTCGCCTTCAAAGAGAAGCAAAGGAGTGGTTAGGATGGGAGCCACGTTGCCCCAGAACTGGGGAAATATTCCATAGTAAAGAACAGACTTTTTAAAAAGGTGGCTAAAAGGGGGAGATGGAGCTGCGGTGGCTCAAGTGGTTAAGACGCTGAACTGCAGGCTGTGGAAGGTCGGTAGTTCAGCAGTTCGAGACCCGAGTGTGCCGCATGACGGAGTGAGCTCCTGTCTCTAGTTCCAGCTCCTGCCAACCTAGCAGTTCGAAAGCAAGACATTGCAAGTAGATAAATAGGTACCACTTCAGTGGGAAGGGAACAGCGTTCCGTGCGCCTTGGTGTTTAGTCATGCCGGCCACATGACCATGGAAATGTCTTCGGACAGTGCTGGCTCTTCGGCTTGGAAACGGAGATGAGCACCGCAACCCTAGAGTCAGATTCAACTAGCTTTCGAGCAAGGGAACCTTTACCTTTACCTTTAAAAGGGGGAGGTGACTGAAAACCATAGACAAGGGGTCCCCAGCGTGGTGCCCGTGGGCCTCTTGTCGCCCGCTGACACCTTTCCTGGTGCCTTTAAAGTTCTTTTTGAAAGTGGGCAGGGCTAAGTGGGACATTTCCCCAGCAGGGCTTCTGATTGGCTGTGCAGATTAAAAGGAATCCTGTCAAGCAGCGCTTCCGCCTGAAAAGTTGCGGAGTCACTATTAGCATTGGATATAACCTCGATCCCTGACATTTTGTGACTCGGCCCACCTTCTGCGGCAGCCATTTTGTGATTGGCCCCACCTCCTGCGGCAGCCATTTTGTGATTGACCCCACCTCCTGCGGCAGCCATTTTGTGATTCAGCCCATTGCCCTTTGTCAGGATTACAAAGGTGCCCACAGGCACAAAAAGGCTGGAGACTCCCGCGACAGACATACCTCCGGGTAGCGGAATCGGAAATCCAAACGCCCATAGTCAGACAGGAAGCAGAAGCGAGTCAGGAATACCCAGTCCTGGAGAGAGAAATTACCTCAGCTTCAAGATCAGCTCTGCTATATGCATCACTAGTAACACCAAACATACAAGGAGAACCAAGGAACAGAGTTAGGAATGCTTTCTCTTGATGTGGGCTTGAGGCTGGTTCTAGAGAGCCACAAGGCCAGGCCTTTGCAGGGTTCACAGGGCTGGAGTGGTCCCTCTCTCCAGGGTTGTTGTTTGTACTCTGCTGTGAAGAAAAACGATGGTGTGGTGGGGAACATATTTCGTTGCATTTTTGTGGAAGACACCAAAATGTCGTCCCCCCCACTTCACCAACGTTTTTCTTCTCTGCTTTGACTCAGTATTAGAGCGCTCCCCTCTTTTTCGTACTTTGTACCTTGCATGGGATATCCAAGAATTCTCGATTCAGCATGTCCCATCTCCTGCATATTAGCAACGTTGCCAACCTCCAGGCGGCACCTGGAGAACTCCCACTCTTACAATTGCTTTCCAGACAACCAAATCAATTCTCCTGGAGAAAATGGCCGCTTTGGAGGGTGGACTCTATGGCATTATACCCCATCCGAGGTCACTCCCCCCCAAACCCCACCTTTCCTAGGCTCCACCCCTAAAACCCCTAAGTATTTCCCAACCCAGAGCTGGCAGACCTACATATTAAAGAGAAGGGGTCCAAGTGAGAAAATCTGCCTGGAGGCCCCAAACTAGGGTTGCCACCCTCCAGGCCCGGGCTGGAGATCTCCTGCTATTACAACTGATCTCCCGGCAACAGAGATCCATTCTCCTGGAGAAAATGGCTGCTTTGAAAGGTGGGCTCTGTGGCTTTATACCCCACTCAAGTCCAATGCTCCCTCTAAGCTGTGGAGTCTTGTGAGCAAAAATTCTACTTTGTGGGCTACTGGCATTAAAGCGGTGAGCGAGCGATTTGGCTATGGCATAAGTTAGGTTGCTCTGCAGCCCTCCTTCCTGAGCTAAGACAAAAATGTGTGAGCCGGAGGCTGAAAAACTGAGCTGGTTCACACAAACTCAGCTTAGAGGGAACACGGCTGAAGTCCCTCCCCTCACCAAAG